TATTAATAAGAGTCTCTTATAATGTGTTATATGGTCTGGCAAAGATAAGTTGGCTTATGTATAATTTGATAAAGATGCTGACAAAAGTAAAAACACACAATAGAAACTTTCTACCCTCTCTAAGATAATTTATTCACGATTCTCTATTATGTGTGTAATTCCATCTCTCTTGATATTCCGTTTCAGTAGAATTATTTTCTGTACATTATATTGACTATACATATATATATATATATACAGACTATATACAATACATATATGTACAGAAGTTTCTTACCTACACACGCACGCACACACATATATATCTGTATATATTATAATAGATATGTTTTTCATAAAGAGATTAGGATTGTTAATGTATCTCTTATTTAGTTTCTAGCTTTAAAATTATCACAACTTGTAAGATAATTTATACATAATGTTTCTTCTATATTTTTCATGCTTTTTTAATATACAGTTTTGTTAAAAAATAAATAAATTTTTTAATATATATTTTTGTTAAACAAATGATTTGAATATTAGACAAAATTCTTTTTTTATATTACAAATATATTGAAACTGACTGTAAAGTATTTGGATGTGTAAAGTCAATAATTTTAAGAAATTCTTGCAAACGAGAGAAACCGTTTTGCATACATTATCGCTGATGTACCGTGTGAAGTCGTTTGATTAGACAGCCTAACTAAGTTGGCACGCCAGGCGAACGGCAAACGGCCTTTTCCTCTCTGCCTCCCATCACTGCACCTTGACTCCTGCTCGACCACAGTTTCACATTAAGTATTCACGTTGACCCCAATTTGCGTGCAAGGAGTGTTCTAGGAAACGGAAAGCATGATGGTATGCAGATCCGGAAGAATTCTGCGCAAAAGCTTTTCAGAAAACTGCATTTTTATCTATTGTGAGAGAGAGAGAGACGAGAGATTAGATAATATTGAAAAGTAAAGGTACCTTTGTGCGTGTATAGTGTATGAGTATGGAGTCGTTATTGAAAATGGTTTTGTTTCATAATAATTTCTAAATAAATTGAGAGAAAAAATATATTGTGTGCCAGAAGTTGTTCTCAAGTAATTACTTCTGTAGTGCTAACATTTATCTTTGTTATTAGATTTAAAATTAAATTTGAAATTTTTGTCCGCGCGCGCGCGTAATATTTCTCTTTTTTCCCGCCATGATACAATTATTTTACATAAAAACATTGCAAACTGTATTATAACGTCATTGAAAAGTAATAAAGCTATTTTTTACATTAATGACAGAAAAGAGGATTTTTGCAAATGACATATAATACATCTCGTGAAGAATAGAAGATTCCTGAAAAGTATCACATTGTATGTGTTTATCAGTCGCGAATAAATATTAAATACAATCAAACGATAGTCCACCCACAATTGTTCCTATATAATTCACAATGCCTGTTCTTAGATTAGAAATGTTTTTCAAGTAAGATTAGCTTGTAAAATCAATTTTGTCACGAGCATAAAATTAACATTGAAACTACTACAACAAAAAATATTATACTGATTTTTAGTGAAAATTGCTATTAAAAATTATATATATTGTATATTGTATATAGAAAAAGCTCAACTTCAATCTTATTAATTTTTCAATTTACTTGCTTTTTAAAAAATTATATTTTTTAAATTTATTATAATATATATATATATACATATATATTATAATAAATTAAAACAATATGATTTTTTATATAGTGATATAGATTTCAATATATAGTGTGTATACTTATTTTAAGTAACTTTATATATATATATTTTTTTTTTCAAGCATTCAAGTAAAAAGACACATTCTCTCTTTCTCTCTCTCTCTTCTCAAAATAATAAATGTAATAAATTTTGGTCTGTTTCGGAAATACGTGTCAATATTATTTTTGATATTCGTCATTGCGTCTCGCCTCGTAGAAACGTCGGCGAGACGCCTTGTGAAATTCATCGTGAATTCTTGTTGTTAGCGTGTCCCAGAAATACGAAAATCAAGTCTCGTCGTGCGGCTTGATTTCGATCGCGTAGGTAGACATACACAGGATGTGACAAGCACGAGAGAGACGGGGGTATGTACAGCCAATCAGTGGTTTTTCCTAGACTAGCTGTCATTCAGTCAGCCAAGTGGAAGGACAGGAACGGCTTGTGGTTCGGCTTTCGCATTATTCATTATGCAGCTCACAACACGCCGTCACCTGCCACCGCACAGTCCTGCATACATAGTCAAGTCGGGATTGACCATACACGCGTGCTATGTGTATGTATAAATGCAATCGGTAAGAATGTGTGCATTTAAGCTCGCGATAAAAGTACCTGCATGTTTTTATTCGGACGACTTGTCGCGCTATCACTTGTTAGAATATTACAAGTATTTGGACTGCGATCTTGATGCTAGAACAAGTATCTTTTGATTTGAGTTTTTGTGATATTAATAAAACAGTTTAAGATTTTCTTTGAAAGTTGATTTTCTCTAATATTATTATTACGTATAAAATATATATTGTTTTAAATAAAAAAAAACAACGTCAATTTCTTAATTTATTCTGACAAAAACAGTACATGTACTTTTGCAAATCAATTGTCACTATTTATATGAAAAATATTGAATATTATTTATATCGAACTAAAATAACTCTTATATGATAAAATAAAATAATATAAATAATTGCAATTTATAGAGAAACGACAACAGCATGTATTAAATCTCAGAGTTTCCAAAGTGCGCAAATCTCTTAAAACCTAACACATATATGAGATGAAAAATCACACTGCAGTTACGATTTTATGCAGACACGACTCAGATCAGAAATATGGCTTTGCTGACTGACAGTGCTTCATCTATATCGGCAATATGTTTATACTAGACTGATAATGAATTCATGCTGTCCGTAGGGCCAAACTACTTGTGAACAGGTTGCAGGAGCATTACGGGATCGGGCTCGCACAGATGCTCTTTTGTTGGCAGATGAGTGAGAGCCCAAGGGATAACGCCCTGGGATGATATCAGATCCGTTGGATCGATATAAGAATCAGGGGAATCGGCCGTATACACGTACACCTATGTCTCGCACATGCACGCGTCGTTGCGTGAATGTGTGATACAGCCGGGAAATCCCACGGGTCCCAATGGGAAACCATCCACGGGGCTTAATGACAATTCTGGCTATTCTATATCGCTCAAACGCTCGTTTGCGCTCGTTTGTATGTATGATCATTGGGTACTTAAGCGTGTGTACACATACATATCCTATAAAATGGCGATATTTTTAAATCTGAAACTAACCGATTGCGAAAACACGCGCGAGTCCGAAAACAACACGGCGATATGCGTTATTTGCATAATTTCTACTAAAATAAAATTTCAATTGATATGATTTATAATCTATAGTCTAGAACAAAGTGTAAAGAAGGAAAATTGCAGAGGGAAAATAGATATTTTTACTACAAAATATAACTTTTTTTTAAGAAACTTGAAATTACTCTAGAATGATTTAAATAATAAATTATTGAAATATAAAAACACGTACAAATTGTGTTAATGTGTAATTTTCGTCTGTTTTTTCGCATCTTGAAAATAATGTATTGACAGATTTGTAACAATTCGAGTGGCTACTTATCGACAGTAAAGTGGCTGTAGCACAGATTCAAACCGACTAATATAATAACGCCTAAAAGTGAATATAACACAGAGTCAAACCAAATTAAGTATGTATTGTCTACACTTAAAAGTGGATGTCGCTTCATAGTTCCTACATCCACTTTTGGGAAATATATAGCGTTGGAATTAGCAGTTGAGAACGTCGTAAAGACCACTGCATGTGATAAAATTTTAGTCGTACATATGTAGTCGTAAAGTTGTAAGCAAATCAATTAACTGCAGGTCGGCATTCCAGCTAATGTAAGATAATACCGATCTGGAATTGCTTATGATTTTACGAGTACGACCTAAATTTTTTCACGTGCGAAGGCCTTAAGACACTGCATATAATAAAATCGCTGTTCTTATGCTTCTATTTGATTCAATTATGAATACTGGCTATAGTGTTTTTGACCGATATGCATTGAATTGCACTGAGAGCTAACTAAATTTACGGAATTATTTTAGTTGACTCTCTACCATATCTCGTTATTTCGCTTTTTAAGACAAAATTAATATGACTATATTTTCCGTCGCCAATTTTTGAATATTTTCCAATAAAAACAAAAGAAAAAAAAAAGAAATAATAGATGTGAACACTCAAGGAAACTAGAGCTATAACATTTCTACGTACTTTATTATTGCACGCGTAAGCAGCATAAGTTCGGATAAAATTATTTTTCAATTTATTTATAATGTTAATTATTTATATAATTTTAATATTGTGAATGTTTGTTCTTTTATCTTTTTATAGCTTTATGAAAAAATGTGATTTTGTTTATTTGATTCCGTCTAAGTTCAAAGAAAGAAGAATATCGGTACTATGCATAAAGGTACCTTTTCATACAGAGGTACGCTGCGGCAGCAAAACGTCACGTGACTAAAATTTTCTAGGACTGCTTCCGCTAGGTATATTTGCTGCTCTTACCTAACCCTCACTGCCATTGGGCGCTTTCCAGCTACGACACTATGTAACACAGTGTCCACTAGTGTGAGAAAGAGCATATCAGTGTGTCTCACTCATACTAGTGGACACTGTGTTACACAGCGTCGCTTGTGTACGTAGCTGGAAAGCGCCCATTATCTGCAAAGTTATGGCTACGTAGTTACCAATGTGCACCACCCATGGACATTGCGCTGGCTTACAGGGCGGAAAAGCGATTACACATTCTCTTAAGGGCCGTCTACAATAAAGGTAGTAAGGCTGTAAAGCTTATGTCACACTACTGATTGGGATTGAGATTGGATTGAAATTTGACCAATCAGAAGAAAGAAAACCAATCCTAAGTTTAGTGATCTTCGCTCTAATTGGCCAAATTGCAATCCAATCTCAATCCTAATCCGTAGTGTGACATAGGCTTAAGGCTGTGTCCAGTTAAGCAAGAGGGAACGCAGGAAGTGCAGGAATAGCTTGTGTACATACATAGATGGGAAGGACTCGTTGTCAACTTACTTCTTGGTCTTCGAAATCTTTTTTGTGACAAGAAAAATTTCTAATTCGGAACATATTGAAACGGAATAAATAATCAGTTCGGAATCAAAACTCGGAACTATCCTGATAAAATCGAGAAGGATGATCAAAAAGTTGAGAGCACCTAACCTATAAAACATAATTCATAGTTTTGATCTCGAAGATCAAAAAATAATTCATATAATTTTGATCTCGCATATCATATTACTTATCATATATCACGAGAACGCAATATATATTGAAAAATATAATGGCAGCACGAGAGATATTAACTATTCAAATGGGTTTTTATTCTAATTTTATTGGTGCCCATTGGTGGAGTTTACAGGTACAGTTATAATAAAGTTTCACTTTTTAAAATTATATTATGTCATATATATATATATTAATATATTGATATACTATATATTTTTGTATTAATATATTCCATTGTCAATGCAGGAATCTAACTTTACATATGATTTAAAAACTTCATCTGAAATAAATCATGATGTACTATATAGAGAAGGTGAAAATATGCGAGTAAGTACAAATTCTTGTACTTACAATTCTTCTTGGATTTATCAATACAAACTTTTAATCTAAGATTTCAACCAATTATCGAGTTATTTTGTAAAAATAAGGTTTACTGTTAGTTGTTTCTAATGGTGCTATTTGTGATAGATGAACAAAAATATAATAATGTATAAGTAAAAATGTTTTTATACTATAAATTGCTTAAATATAAATTGTAAGTAATATAAGAGTTTATGTATTATATGTATATATAAATTTGGTGTTCATCCGCTTCTTATAAAACGAAAACCTGGTTTGTTTAATAATTATAATAATAATGTTAATGTACATTGAAAATTGTCTATCTTAATTTTGCATAAATTAAATGTTTTTACAAAAATTTAATAATAGAACATTTCATGTCACATAGATAGTAACATACTGCATATGATTCTCTAAATAATGTGATTATATAAATTCAAATTTTTTATAAATAAAATTATACACATACATGTAGTTCTGTAAAATAGTAATTATAATTGGATAGTAATGTTCTAGAGGCAAGTTACATTTACACCAAGATTATTAATAACAGAATTAAAAGGAGCACTAGGATATCTGAATGAGCAAGGTACACTATATGATACAGAATCTCCAGATAATCAAATATTATGGGATGATGCAAAGATAGAAGTTACCAATAAGGAGTCTAGTCCTAAAACATCTTTTATTCAAAGTCTAAATGAATCCAAACAAGTTGTGGAGTCACAAACTTATGATTTCGAAAATGATGTAAAATCATGGGTGGATTACCTTCTACCTTCATTTCATCCGAGAACACTGACAGTTATCAAGGAGTATTCACATAACTGCACAAAGCAACCATTCAATATATTCACATATGGACGTGATTTATGGACTAGAGAACAATTCTCTGACGACTTTTCAGATAGAATACGAGCTTACGTGGAGGAGTGTGATTTGTTGCAAGGATTTCAGGTATCTATATATTTAAATACATTATTGTTGCGTGTGTGTGTGTGCATACACACATATATTTTTATATGTTTATATATTTATTTAAAAAAAGATTTATAATATTAATATACTATTTGAAAAAATATAGATACTTGTAGATTCTACTGATGGTTTTGCTGGTCTGGGAACATCTTGCATTCAACATTTGCGTGACGAATATGGCAAAAGCATTTTAACATTTCCATGTCTGGATTTTAACAATGCCGAGCCCAGTGCATTGGATTTGATTAAAGTAGTTAATACGGCACTATGCTGGCAGCATACCGAGGAATATTCGTCGCTTTATAGTCCACTTTCCATTGGACAAGTTGGTTGGCCGTTTGCGGGCAATCCACGTAAATTTGAGAATATAATATACAATCCGGAATTGAAGTATCATAGTAGTGCGATATTAGCGACTGCTTTAGATACATTAACATTAAGATATAGAAATAAAAAATATCCACATGCTACTTTGTCTGACTTATGCGCTGACTTAAACAAGTTAGGTCGCAAAGCCACGGCAACTAGTTTGAGCTTGCCGTTTCCTATGAAAATGAAAATGGATTTGATAGACGTATTAGATGAATTCGAAGGATCTCTATGGACAAGTTTGACGCCAAGCTGCGACATATCTATGGATAAAAATATGCAAAGTATAACTTTGCGAGGAATTCCAGAGGACAGATTAAAACGTCCTGCTAATGAAGCTTGCAAACAAATCTATAAGCCAGCATATAGATGCTCCAGTGTACATGAAATGATGACTCTTTATCTAGCATGCACATGTCATACATCAGCTACATATTTTTCAAACATCACGGCACCGTTGAAAATTACCACACCGTATCCAAAGATCTTCAATAACAATGTAACTAAGGATGGAAACATTGCTGGCTGGCCTGTAGGAACCGGTATATCTCTTTTCTCATTAGTATAAAGACTTGTATGACTTACTTAGCGATAAGTATTAATATTCGTTGTTTTTTACAGACGTAAGTTCGGTTGCAGTGATGGCTGGAATGCACACTAACAATAATATTGCAACAATGTACGAATCCTTACTTAAACAAACGAAGAGAGTGAGAAGTATCAAAAAATTGCATGCTTTTACGGATTCCGGACTAGAAGAAGATGAGTTTACAGAATGTCTTCATCGTTTAGCTGATTGTAAAGAGGCGTATGAAAATTATTATTTATAAAAAAAAGTATTATACATATATAATTAACATTACTTTAATATCTATTGCAATTTATACTTACAATATTTTAGTAAAATATTGTAAATAATTTATTTTTTACTGTAATTTTATAAATATAACACATATATACACACATATATACATTGTGTGTGTTTCGCGCGCGCGCAACAATATGTGTAGATATAATTGATTTTGTAAATATATTCATACGTTTAAGACTCCTGCATATTCATAATTATTTTGAATGATTATGTTAGAAGTCAAATTATACGTTCAAAATTGTTTAAATCCTGTATGTAATTAAAGTAATCGTTGTTCCATATAAAATCCACTTTTTAATTAATAGAGCACACATTTGTAAGATCTACTGTGATATTAATAGATTTTACAAATCCATCAATTATATCTCATTACACGCAGCACATCTATATCCGTTACGTGTGCCATACATTTTATGCAAACCTTATGTCAATTGATCAAAGTTTACACATAACTATTAGTCTATGTATTTTTTAATTTTATTGTTTCTACAAAACGATCGTTTTCTAATATTTTTTAATAATATGTTGTATTTAATACCTAGTAGTTTTATACGGAAAATTTAAATTATGTTGCGTAATTTGTAAGAATTTTAGACATTTTCTTGCTTCTCTCTCTCTCTCTCTTTCTCTTTTAACATCATTATCCAAGATGGCAGCAAATATATATATTCCGAAGTCTTAATAATATTACAAAATCAACAAGGTTTACATTTAACAATCAAGTATACAAGCTAGTCGTAATTCAAGATCGAAACGTCCCTGAACGTGGGAGTGGCAAGACACACCCTGGTTATTAGATTGCACGATTTCGTATCGAACATACTGGAGATGCGAGAAAACTCAGTTCTCGGTGTTCTTTCGTAAATGTGACACAGTTCGTTTTATAATCAGATGTGAAGAATTTTTTTTTTATACAAGTTTTTTGTTTTCTTGTTGAAAAAGTTTCATAACAACTAAAATGTAATACTAAATTATTTTTTTTTAAACTAAAAATTAATATTGTAGAATTTAACATCTAAATTTGCAATGGTACATAAAAAATAATAATAAGTAATACACACAATGGGAAATAAATTAGCCACTTTTACTGAAGAACAACTTGAGGATTATCAAGACTGCACATTTTTTACACGCAAAGAAATATTGAGGTATATATATTTCTCACACATTTCCATTGTTTTTTTGTATGTTTTATTTTCGCTTTGCTGAGAAAAACGTCTTGCAGAATATTTAAGAGATTTCGAGAAATAGGAGATCCTGGAATGGTACCACATACTATGACACCACAACAGGCCTCGTCTCTTCGTTTACCGCTATCGTATTTGGCTCGTATTTCCGAATTGAAGGTTTTATTTGAAATATAAATATCTATCTTTCTCTGTTTTTGTAATGAATATAAAACATGTTTTGTAATCAATATAAAACATGATATGTGTGGAACAATTGATAAGTATCCAAATAAACGACGTACAGATAGCGTTAAACCAGCGTTTGACATTTGTTTTCCTGAAGGATGAAACTTGCCAACAACAACAGCAATGTGATACTATCGTCATCTGAAATACTTATCAATCGCTTCTTGTATACATGCTACAAAACATTTTATTTTACGACAGATTGTTTATTATAGATATTTTTTTGTGGTTTTGTTTTTACTAACGCAAAAGATGTTTTGTTTTAGGAAAATCCCTTCAGAGAACGGATCTCGGAAGTTTTTTCGCGATGTCAGGATTCAGGACATTCAGCGTCCACCTCTGAAGGAATCTGCTTTGAGGAATTCCTCGAGATGATGTCTGTGTTCTCTGAGCAGGCGCCACGAGATCTGAAAGTCTTTTATGCCTTCAAAATTTATGGTACGAACCACCGAATGAACCAGACGATAAACGAACAAACGAGTATGTAGACAGACGGACGAGCGAACGAATTGTGAGAGTCTTGAGGATAACCTCACTATACCTATAGTTCTCTGAGATGAGGAGTACATACGACATCTACGATGCACGAGAATATTTGCACGGAACAACTGATCGATTTTGCGTAATTATGACATGCAGCGTCATAATTATATACTCATTTGAACGTTTCTCTTTTTTTACTGTAAATTATAGTTCTATTTCATTATTGTTTTAAATCTTGTAATATTATAATTAAATTTATATAAAAATACATAAAAATAAAATGTCATTTTTATATAGAAAAAAATTAGCGCAAAACTCAATTAAGTTTTTTTTTTCGAGTATTAAATTTTTTTTGCGACAATATTCAAGTTTTTATTTTATCTTTCTGTACCAATTTGTGTTTTCTCTATGAATAGATTTCGATGAAGATGGGGTGTTGGGTCTAGATGATTTGGAACGCACCTGTCGGCAGCTGACGCGTGATGGGCTAAGTGCCGAAGAGATAGCTACCGTGTGTCGTAAAGTTCTGGAGGAGAGTGATATAGACGGAGATGAAGCTCTATCTTACCTCGAGTTTGAGCATGTTGTAACTAGAGCCTCTGATTTCATGGCAACCTTCCACATAAGAATATAATAATAATGTGAAGAAAAAAAAAATATATATATATATATAAAACATAATTGTTTCTTAACTTGCGACATGTTGATAAACTGCAGATTACGTTACGCTAATTCATTGTAGTAGCAAATCGTACGGAATACAATTTTCAATTTTTTTAAATATAATATCGTAGATATTGATTTTCCGTGAAATCAGTGACAAGTAGAAACTTTTTGATGAGAGCGGAAGAGCGCGCTTGGTGTTTGTATGTTGCATCTCATTTCCTATTATTTCTGCATTGCGCATGCCGGTTTGCACGACCGGCAAACCGTAGCAAAGCGTTTATGCAATAATACCTCTAACGATTTTCAAAGGTTATTTGATGTTGTTCGAAAGGTTTGCGTGCGGAATATCGCGTAATTCCTGCACACCGAATATTGTTTGTCGCAGGTATGTAGCGCTTAGTTCGAATAATGGAATATTATACGTACGTGAGAAGCATTCCGTTTCTTTTTTGGTTAATTGCGATTAAGTCTTTAAATGATTGAGTTACGTCGGCTATGGCATTCGGGCTTTGCGGTTTATAAACATAAGTTGTAACTCTCGTAAAAAAGATCTTTATTCGTAAAACAATATTACGTATCATACAATACGTCGACGCAATAAAAAAAAACACGAGTAGTTTATTTTTTAATCATATTCTTTTCGATATATATTTTATTTTTAATAAAACAAATGTATATATATATATATTTTTTTTTTGTATACAATGATTCGAGAAAAAAAACTTAAATACAATGTATCAGAAAAAGAGGAAGAAGATTGCAAACTGCTTGCTATTTAAGTCCTTCATGTGTTTTTCTTATACGTATGATTGTGCGCGCATTTTCAAATTCTCATCATTCAACCTGCCGTTTCATTCTAAGTTTTTTTCAACGTACGCGCTTGTAAACGTCTTGCGTACTTGTCGGTGTATTCTGTCGCCTTTTCGTACTTCTTCCGTCTTGGATGGGTTCTCTCAGCCTCCTTGCCCTTGTCAGACAAGCCCTGGTAGCGCGAGACCGCGGTCGTCTTAAAAAGCGGTCGAAATCGGAGATACCGCCCTGTGGCACAGCCGGTTATAGTCGGCCGCGCGGTAACTAACCGAGTCTTGGGACCAAGGCCATCCGGTCACTTCCCGGCCCCTACCTCGGGGCCCCTGTCGGACTTTCCGCTCCTCCACGTTCTCTCGTCAGGTCGCAAAGTGGCCCTCGAGGCTCCGTGAAGGCTCTCTCTCTCTCTCTCTCTTTCGTTCTTTCTCTCTCTCTCTCTCTCTTTCGTTCTCTCTCTCTCTCTCTCTCTCTCTCTCTCTCTCTCTCTCTCTCTCTCTCTCTCTCTCTCTCTCTCTCTTTCGTTCTCTCTCTCTCTCTCTCTCTCTCTCTCTCTCTCTCTCTCTCTCTCTTTTGTTCTTTCTCTCTCTCTCGATACAGGTTCTCCGTCGAAGAAACCTTCTCTCGAGAAGTTTCCCCTTCGTAGGGCACCGCAACCAACCGCCTTCCACGTCGTGGTATGCATTCTTGGGCCTCCTCAACATAGCTTGTCGCAACGACTCCGTGTAGAGAGACTCCGCGCCGTATCCTCACTCCCTGTTCTTTTTATTTCTTTCTCCGAGTAGAGGCGAGACGAGAAGTCGGAAAAGAGGAATGAGAAAGCAAAGATAGCGGGTGGATGGCGAGACGAGGTGGAGGAAATAAAGAAGAAGAAGAAGCAGAGAAACGAACAGCACAAGCAGACAGGTAAAAGTGAGAGAGAGAGAGTACTCGGTGGTGAAACTGATGGTGGTGCGATGTGTGAGGCAGTTGCACACAGCAGATTTGAACTTAACTTTTATGGTACTCTGGCGTAGGCGAGAGCACGCACATACGGGAGATCTCTGGAGCCTTCTTCGAAACCGCAATCCAAAGATATAATACGACATTATTCGGATAAAGATTTTTTGGTGAACGTTGCGGAGAGATCTTCTAGTGCCATGAGTGGTTCGAAAAAACTAATCGAATTCATTAAACAGCATGAACTTTAAAAATATGTATAGGCCGAAGAATGTTGCTTGGAAATTATTTAATCGTTTTCAAATATAACAATAAAGAATGACTTTATCACTTATGTGAATAATCTGTAAAATATTGAACTTCAAAAAATCATATTCACTTATTGTAACATCTTACATTATTTATATAAGCCGCTAATCCATTACTTCTGATAGATTAGAAAGAAAATTATAAGATTTTATCCAATTGCTAAGCAATCATGCACATTATTTGAAGCCGGTAATTAATACATAGAGATTGTAATATTATTTACACGTTTAATAAAATTGACTAATATAATTAGTTGTGCATAAAAAACAAGTTTTGTCAAATATGTCTATCTCTTTAACTAGAATAATATATACACAGAATAAGTTATACACAAAATACTGCAATCTTGTAAAGCCATACTGCGAGAACCGCCGCTTTGCGGTAATATTATTAGAGATTAAATTAATATCCGCTCGGAAATAATGGTGCTCTTTCGTACGAACTAGGCGTGAGACGCGGGATTATGTCGTTCTTGATAATATCTACTAATTACGTTAACTGTATCACCACGTAGTCATGTTAACCGCAACACTGTTCTGCGCCGAATGTATTATTATTTATTATTCATGTGAAGACTTTTGAATACTCACTACAGTTATCTTGGATGATGACATAAGAAACGGGAAAATATATAATTAAAATATATTGTTGCATATATTTGCAGAGAAAATAAGCTTTATTTTAGACTTTTTACTTATATCTATTAATCCATGTGTGCGTATGAATGTAAAATATAGTTTTTGATGGATTTTACAAATGTGCTTTATCAAGTAAAGAAGTTGATTTAAAAGTTTTTTTTAACAAGAATTACAGCAAGTTTAGACATATTTTTTTACGTTATTCAAAATAGCTGCAATACGAATGTTCGGAAGGCTTAAGAAAAACTCGAACGAATAGTGAATCTTTTCAGAAAACGTACAAAGTTTATCGCGATTGATTGCATGACTGTAATTGCGATCGCTTACTTTATAGCAACAAAAGTTTCGTGTTAATTAAATTTGATTAGACTCTTCTGAGATCACACATAGCTGAAAATCGACGTCATACCCAGTTATAAGCAATGTTTCATCAACATAAAGTGTTCTCATGATGATCCTTATTTTTGAAGACTTAAGCGAGGATCTTGAACTTACTAAACCGGATCTAGATATTTCTCTTACACTCTTTCTCGCTCATTCTCTTTCTCTCTCTCTCTCTCTCTCTCTCTCTCTCTTTTTTATATCTTTTTTTTATTACACCGTCTATTACACCGTCTTTTTCTATACTAGTCTATTATCCGTAAAGCCGGTGTCCTCACATTTAAAATAAGTCAAATGTATCATATAAAAGGTTGGATATACAACCGTTGTTTTAATCGGAGCTGTTACGAAAGAGATTTCTGACATGCGAGAAAAATTATAAAACTCTAGTGAACATAAAAAATCACATGCAAGTTTCACGAAAACGAGAACAAACATGCGAACAGAAGCAAGTTTGGTATACAATAATATAATTTACTATGCAAGTTTCATAATCGACATCTTTTCTCAATCGTACAAGAGCAACATCTTTCCAATACTATATATAACTCTGTCCAATAAACTTATATATCTCTCTGGTATACTTATATATGAGATTGGAAGCCACACACAATCCACTTTTTTGTTTATTCTATTTTGTTTTTTTTTTCTTATATTTATTTATAGTAAACTCAAGATAACTTGAGAAAAGCGTGAGGAAATATATATAGTTAATTATGTACATTTGTTAACATTCAAGATGCTTACAAAAAGCGTCAACATTGGTATACAGATAATTGAAAAAACTTCCATAAATATATCACGTACGGCAGTTGTTTGACAAAACTAGTCCAATCTGTAATTTTGCTGCAAATGACGTTCGTACTTGAAAGTTGCGAGTACGCGCATAGTCGAAATAATATTGGCGCTTCTCGCGAACACACATCGTGGTGGTAAAGAGGCGCGAGAGCTTGTAGATATATAGAGAACCGTCTACCGTCAAAGAGAGGGAGAAAGGATCCTAAGGAGTCGGTTGGAGTGCGGAATGCGGCTTGACCGGCCGAGCCATCCCCTGCCTCCTCTACCATCGCGGATCCATCGAGAGAAGAGAAAGAAGAGAAGCGGGAAAGAAGAGGAGACTGGCCCAACCGCCTTTGGATACTAATGGGCTCCATTGGGGTACTCGAATATTCTTTTACTATCTCGAACATCTTGCATCAGGAGACTTGTAATCCACCATGCACGAGGTGCCCTCTTTTAATGTTCACCGAGGTACCTGCTGTTACTTCCTTGCGTTGTTCATCAGAGATCAACAGAGATAAATCTAACTTAGCTGTTAGATAATCTAACAGCTAAAAAACCTTGAAAAATTTACAGAAGCACGGACACCTGAATTTAAACCTGATAAAAAAGTGAAAACGCGTAAACTATATGACGCGCGATATTATGAATTTTTAGCTCTAAAGTATGACATTCTTGAGCTCTTAATAGAGCCTTATATATATTAACATTATATAATGTATCTGTACTTTAGTATTATCTTGCTGAATAATATTCTGTGGAGCGATATGTGTAACCACGAAGGTTTGGTATCTATAAAATGAAACATGTTCCGCGTATCCTAACGTAGATTCTGCAACGATAATTTTGTATTGTCAGTTTATGATCGTAGTATCAAAAGACACAACGAATGATTTAGCAGAGATAAAGAATTATTTTAGCAAGTGCGTTAATAAGGATTGTTGTCTCATATTTTCAATGCTCGTATATGAGATTTTGATTGAATAGGAAGTTATCGAACATGGTCGATTAGCAGATTAGAAACATATCTTATATATTGTGGAAAAACTCGTTTTTTTGTCGCACGCTCAATTTGCCGCGATGCGCATTGCATGATTAGTTTGACCGCATCTTTGTAGACGTGATTATCTTTCGACGAAACTGGCAGTGACCTATGAGGCTGTCCGTCGATAATGCGAGTTGGTCAAAGAAGATGAACGACTAGCACGCTCACAATGGACGCGCGTACATCTGTACTTCCAAGTTGGATCAACAGACGTTCGAGAACGTCTTACCGTGCACAGACGTCGCGTCACGGAAATTGTCCGTATAAAGAAAAATCACGAGATCGCTGTTATTCTAGAAATTCTCGGAAGCTGCATATCCATACTATCTAAAGATATATTCGCTTCGGAATTATGTCAACATTTACAATCAGTCTTGGCGTCTTTCTTGGCGTTGAAATTGATGGTCGGTTGCTCGTGAGATTATATGCATACTCGAGAAAAAGATATGTAATATGCACAGCAATTGTTTGCACGAAATTTCGGAGTCTGATTCTCATTATAATTTTGCGTATTTGCACGATATAAAAATATTAATATATTCGAATATTTATAAAAACGACAATTTATCCCGTTAGTAATTATCGTCAACATGCGTGAAATTCGCAAACCTCTGTAAGTCGCGTCGCAAGGTATTTGCTTGAATTTCTTCCTATGTTGCAATCAACGAAACTTATCCATTGGCATAAGTATTTCGAAAAAAAATTTTTTTCTTTGTCACTCGTC